AAACGTTTTGTTCCGGCAACAAACAGCTAATGTGATAACGCTTTTATTACAGAATTTCCATGCAAAAGAAAATTTCTAAAAACTGCCAAATTTCCAAAACAAAAGTCTCTTGATTACACTTTCTTAATATTCTTAGAGTTTGTGGTTGAACATGAACTCTTCCACTCTGCTCCTAATCTCACTTTAGCATTAACAGCTATCTTTATGTGTTTATGTTATTTATTTTAACTTGATCTGACATCTGATTTCTAAAAACTTGATCTGACAAATTCATTATTTTTCGCCTATTATAACAAGGGAAGAAATTAGAAGTTCTTTCTTAATATATATACCTATATATATATACACATTGCCCTCCAAAAGTTAAGGAACACCATATTTTTCAAAGCTCATCATTACAAAAATGTTAGTAAACGTTTAAATTCACAGTTGATATGCACAAAGTTTAAGAAAATATATGCAAAAACAATAGTTACCACTTTTATTTTATAGAAATGAATACTTCTACAGGAGTTGGAAGAAAAAAGCAAAAATTGTAAGTTTTGTTCACGAGTGTTAACCTTCAGTTGTTATCACAGTTTCATGGACAATATCAATGTCCAGGAGAAGTCATTTGCCCAATTCGCTGAGGTGGCGGGCGATAGGATGAACGGAAATGGGGATATTACTAGCTGATGCTATTACGCGTCTCAATATCTCTCGTAGTGTTGTCCACCGACTATGGAATCAGTTTGAATCCAAGAATTCTGTGTCTAGAAGAGATATTCCAGTCAGACCTAGAATTACAACACCTGCGGGAGATTGTTATTTAGCTCTTTCGGCCCGAAGAAGGAGCAGAGCCGCATTTAGACTTCATAAGGCCCTATGCTATTTGAGATATGGAGCCTTTTATAAGTCCAGATATTATATGTCATTGCCAAATATGATTTTCGGATACCTAGAGGGGTTTTTTTTTGGTGGGGGCCACAAAAAAGCGAGGGCCCTAAGCTATTCCTTGTGTAGTTTATACGTAAATCCTGCGCTGAGGAGGAATAACATTACTGTGCATCAGCTCATGCCAGATCTTTTAGTGGCAACGGGAACACGAATCTCAGCTACTATTGTGCAGACGCCTGGCACAATACAGTTCTGTATGCAAGACGACCAGTTGTTTGTGTCTCCCTCACCCGAGGACACAGAGGTGCCCGTTTATGTTGGGCAACAGAACATGTCTCCTGGACCAGTCAACAATGGGCCTCTGTTCTCTTCGACGAGTCCAAGTTCACATTGGAGAGTGATTCAGGTAGTCAGCTGATCTGGAGGGAACAACGCACCAGATACAACCAATCCCACATTGTGGAAAGACACAGTTACAGAAGTGGTGGAATAATGGTTTGGGCTGGGATCTCTCTCGGTGATAACAGTGACCTCCATGGGTTATATAAAGGAACTTATACATAACACACACACAAACATACATAATACACACACAAAAAAAAGATCACATGCGTTTCCGTTAAAAATATGGGAAAGAATGTTAGTGTTTACATAAGAGAGATAAAATTTTTTGGCACGCTTCCAAACAAGAGCTCTCCGGGAACTGTTAAAGAATTACCATTCCGTTTTCGCTGAGTCGCTGATCATTCGCTCAATAAAGTGAATCGGTTCTTTGAATTAGTTCGGAGTGGATCGTCCAACTTTAAATTGACTGACGTTAGCCTCGACCACGCTCTAGGCTTTTGAGTGGTTGACTTATTATTTAAGTCAGATAGGCAAATATTAACCCTCTTATTAACAAATATGTATTTGAGAAAATATTAACAAATATATCGTTGGGACTTATTATGTAAGTGAAGTCCCAAAGATATGTTTGTTTGAAGCTAATACTAGTTTTTTATTGGCACATCAGCGGAAAGAGAGAAAGAATTAGGCTCGGAAGACATTAAGTTCAATTAACATAACAAACTGCGCTCTTCCTTAACTGATTTGATCCAGCTTATTATTCTTTGCAGGCTATTATTATGACAGTCATCTTATCAAAATTAAAGTTTGAAATATTGATTATGTCGAAAAGACTTTTGTATTCTGGAGCTATAGCATGACTTGCAAAATAAAATCATAATTGGTACTTGCCTTCTACAATGGGTTTGGCGCAAGAAAACATCACTGGGGCAACTTGGGCTTAAGAAAGTGTGATTTAGGCAAAACAGGAACCTCATTTTTGCGAAATTTTACAATTAATAGAATTTTTGAAGAAATGAGAATGGCAATAAATGAATATGAAATTACAACAGGTGTTTTCCATTTTGATGTCAACGTCCCAATCAGCAGTCAACTAGTGGATGATAAAATCTGTAGTATGGTTTTAAAACCCACAAAACATCACTACCGAAAATGATAAAGAGATTTTTGAGAATGAAAAGATTTCAACTGACAGTTAAGTGAGAATTTCCGACACAGAAATTACAGGACTTGAGCAACGGAACTTTCTAACTGAACAAGAAGTTACAACACTCTATAAAATTAAATAACTATTGAGCTTTTTTGGTAAATTTGATTCCCTAAATTATAAATGCTTCATTATTTCATAAACAACTATTTCATATTTTTAATTTCATACTAATTTCTACATGTCATCTTACTAGACTTAAACTGATGATAAAAAAATACACATGGCCGCTAAAGTTCCGATTCTGGATGTCAAACTTTGTATATAAAGAAATTAATCAGCCCTGCTATTATCCTGCTGGTCCAAATATAAATTAGTCACATAAAAAAATGACCCTATATATTTTTAATTCTTTCTAAGAATCAATAAAAAGGCTGCTATGAGTTTGACTACGAGTTAAGAGGCAAACATATAAGTTTGAAGATATATGAAGGTATAATTTGCAAGAAATCTACACTGCGAAAAAAAATATCTATATCTCCCGTTCTATTGGACCGAACTAACGAAATTCAAATTACGTGTTTCATGCCTCGAAAGCGCGACTTAGGATATATATTAGATTTATATATAGCATTTTTCTAATATTTTGACACAAAATCGAACTTTTCTGAAATATTGACGAAATTCAAATTGCGTTTTTCATGCCTCGAAAGCGCGAGTTAGGATAGCATTGTTCTAACATGGATATTTTCACAACAAAACCGGACTTTTCTGAAATGCCAAGCCAATTTTTTTCCATGTTCCGATTCTACGACTCAAGTTATGCCTAAATATTAAAATTTGTGCGAAATTTAAGGAGAAATTCAAAAATTCATAAATTTATCTTGGCGCATTTTTTTTATTTTCCGCCAAGAATAATTCACTTCGCAATTCTCAATTTATAGTAACCTACTTACTTAATTTCCTTTTCTTTTCATTTATGCACGAGAAGGAAAAAGGTTCATTCTTTCAAATAATTTTAACAGCGTAAACCACATTAGATGTTATTATCGCTTTAAAAAATATGCCAAATTTTAAAACGCGAAAATATATAAATTCACGTATATCTTCGGAAATTTTGAATAAAAAGCTCTAATCTTTTGCAGGTTAGTTTAGAAATACATCTACTTTAAGATGATGATAAATATTTTATAGATTATAATTCAAATTTTTTCGAAAAATTTATAAAAATTATTTTTAAATACAAAATTTTAAAAATAAATCATAAAAAAAATGTGCGAATTGGATTTGGAATGAACCTAAATTTCGAAATGTGAAAGGAAGAATAAAATAAGTTTAATTAAAAAATGAGATATTAATAAATATATACAAAATTCAATTAACATGGAGGAGCTAAAATTTTGAAAGTTAATTTTTTTAAAACTACTCGTGCGATTTTTACAAAACTTGTCAGTTTGGCATAATTTGAGTCGTAGAATCGAAATATGGGAAAAAATTGGCATGTCATTTCAGAGAATGTCCGATTTTGTTTCAAAATACCTATATTAGAACAGTACTATATATAAATCTAATACATATCCTAAGTCCCGCTTTCGGGACATGAAAAACGCAAGTTGAATTTCGCCAATAGGCCCAGTCCAGTAGAACGGGAAATATAGAACTCTGCCTTTTTATTTATTTTTTTTTTCCTTCTTCTTTTTTACTGAAAACTAAGTAAATAATATTCGATCTGAAAATTAAAAAATAAGTGATAAATTATTATAACTGATTTTTAAAATGATAGGCAATATATGTTAGATGAGCAGGTTTTTAAAAGAGCATGTAGAGGAAAAACATTTTATATCTGAGCTAATATGCTATATAGTATAAGGATCTTTCAAAAGTTGATTGCTTAGTTTGGTTTGGTTTATGTAAGAAAAGCTTCGAGGGCTATCTGCCTAAGGGGGGGTTGGCTTCGCGGAGGACTTTCTATGGGAAACTGGCTCGTATACACATTACACATAAGGCAAACTACGAAAAAGCCCATGCAGCCAGCCCGTTGGCGGGATCAGAACCTCGGACCGAAATACCAGTGTTCATCGACTTTACCGCTCGGCCGCTGGTGGACCTTCAAAAGTTCGTAATCATTATTATAAATTTATTTATAAACTAGTAATGCTAAAATGTTTTTACTAGTGGTTTACTATTGGTTTGAGAGTAAAACCGAGTTCATTTGAAAACATAAGATAAAATTTTCTTTTGAGATGATGCCTAATTTTATTGCATTACATTGGTCATGCAGTAAAAAAGAGCAAATCAGATTCAAAACAAGTAATAACTCAGAATTACTGAATATTTACTCAGGTTTGTTTATTTTGGAAATTATTGCTATCTCAACAATATCACTATAAGATTTCTAAAACAAATGAAAGTTTATAAAATAAAAAAGGAAGGATATATTCAACATTTGTTGCAACATTTATCAATAAAATCTCATATAACTGCAATTTATTTGTATACTTTGGATTGCATTTTTCTGCTATAGGGTGCATCTAATGTGTCATAAATATAAAAGGCTACAGTATTTTTTGCAGTTACTGACATAACTGAATTTTCTGTACAAAAAAATATCTCCAAAAATCATCTAATTTAAAATGTAAAATACTTATTAAAAATACATACCTACAATAATTTCCCAACCTGTATGTTCTGCCATTATTTCATAAGCACATCTCATTTCAGAATACGTCACTCCACCAGCAATAAACACAATTAAACGCGACATGTGTCCATATTTTTTGTCTGCACACCAGTAACGAGATCTAAAAGAGGGGGGAAATTTTGTACCGAAAATTATGTGTAACAACAGAAATGTGTTACTTTACAAAAAGGCTGGTAAATTAAACTTCATCTGCCAAGAAAATAATAAATAAGATATCAACACCATAATTTAAGAACGTATACAACTGATTATTTTTAATTAACTTACGCAACCGCTTTTACGAAGAACTTATTTAAATGTATAACTTATTTAATGTGGTAAAAAAAATATATATAATTAGATATCTTAAAAGTGTACAATAAATGTTTCATTTTTAAGATCCTGAATTAGACTTTCTTTAATTAAGAAGAAATGTTTAAAAGTAATGTTATTACTATCTTAAATATGATAACCAGCTATGCTGCATTTTCTAGAATGAAATTATAAATTTAGCAATTTTAAGTATAAAAATTAAACAATTTACTACACTGTTTCCTTTAATTACATGTTACAACTTATTTAGAGCTAGAGAAAGTAATTAAAAATGTGTTTTGAACAAAATGCATAAGATGTATTTTATGTGAAATACATTTTACACTTTAGAAAAAAGTGAAGTGAGAAGTGAGAAGTATCATCATGCAAATGTAAAGTACAAAAATAAAACCATGTATTGAAAGGAATAACTCAAAGAGGTTTTAGTGCAAAATTTTATACTAGTGTTCAAAATTTGGTACTGATGGTTTACTTAGTAAAAAATGAAGACATATACGAAAGCAAAATGCATCTTATGATTAGCGGAAATAAGAAGTGCCTTAAATCAGCTAAGAACATCTTCACAAAATGATACAGGGTTGTTAACTGTAGGGGGATGGGGGACTTTTGTAAAATTTAGATGATAGAAGCCCATCGGAGAGGACAATTTATTTTAATTTCTTAATTATCACATAATTTTTAGAACAAAACTTGCTATTTTAAATAAAATTTCACATTTAAGAATACACTCAAACCTCCCATTAGCGGAACCAAGAATTCTGTTTATTATTTAACAACATTCACTAAATAAGAGGGCATTAGTCTGCCACTTTAGGGATTCAAAAACTGTGCATGAATGGGATGTATCTATTAAAATCAGTATAAGTAGAAGAAGTTGAATAGCATATATTATTAATTTTACAACAGTTACAGAAAGACTGAGGAAGTTCTAACAGTATGTTGTAGAGTCATGAGGATTTTTGATGCTGGAAACGTGAAAAATATGCATATTCCTTGCCAGAACTTGAACTCTGGACCTCTCGAATGCGCATCAAGTGTACTTCAATTACACTCCAAAAACATGCGGAAAGCAGGGAGAAAATATCTTACATACTCCCGCTATTAAAGGACAACTATTATCCCGCTATTAAAGGAACTAGGTGATGCAATCGCCAAATCCTGGTGGTGACGAATTATAGTCCACCAACTTTTAATTTGGGCGCCATTTGTAGAGTCATTAGGATTTTTTAAGCATTACATAAAAAATGTACATTGTCCTCACCGGGACTGGAACTCTGGATCTTTCGAATACGCACCCAGTATGCTTCCAATTACAACCCGAAGGCATGCGGAAAGCGGCGGAGAAAATACCTTACGATGTTAAAACTGTTATTGTACTTAAATTTGCTCTTAATGCATTTGCATCAAATTATGAAACAAATAAATTGTTCCAAACTGATTACAGATTAATAAAATAATCATTTTGATTAATTCTGCAAGGTATTGACAAACTTATTCTATGCTAATTTTATTTTTAGAAATTACATTTTTTTTTTTTTTTTTTACCCATTTATTTATATTTTACTACTAAGAAAATTTCATCATATTTCCATCTCCAAAGAAGTTTTCCATAAATCCAAAACTCGACTTGAAAAGTAATTCAGAATCATGCATCTATCGGGTTTTAAAGAAAAGTTTTCTGCCACAAATATCTGCACAAACAGTTCATGTTGGCGTGCTTAAATATATTTGTCAAACGATTTTCGGCATTTTAAAGGAAGACTCATTCTTTAGAACACTGCCTTGTAAAATTTGTAAAAAAGGGCACCTGAAATGGAACTATCATGATATCAGGTTGGAGCCATCATTTACATCCAGTTCTGTTGAAAAAATCAGCCGCCGAATGTCATCATATCATGTGTACAGCTTTGGGTACTGATTTTGTATCATATGACACTGTGAAGATTTAGCACCGAAAGTTCAAAAACAAGGACTATGAGCAGAGTACTCTGGCCGGCCTACTGATGTAGATGAAGCCCGCCACGAGAACTTGTGGAAGAAGATGAGTATGCAACTACGCGAAAGCTTATTTAGGAGTAGACGTTAGTGCCATATCCATTAGTCACGCTGAGCATGGCATAAACTTGACGTACAAATTCAATCGCTTGGTGCCGCATGAGCTGACTCAAGGAGATACGGACAGACGTGTTCGGGCCTGCACTAATCTGCTCGAATATCAACGCCAGAACAAAATCGACCGGATCGTCACTTGTGATGGAAAGTGGATTTACTTCTACGGTAGGGTACGAACTGCGCCGAATTTGATCGAAAATCCCCGTCCCCCTTTTTTCTAATGCACGAACTCAGGACTTAGAAGAGAAGGTCTAGCTCATAGAGCTTTTCCCCCTGAAGCAGAAAGTGAGAAGTGATGACGTAGTCATGATGACACTGAGCGCGCAGATGCAATTCACAGCTTGAAAATTAGCGATTTTGAACCAGCGTTTGAAATGAGCTGTGTGAAAACAGCTATAATTTGGAAGAGACAATGTTTGAAAACAGCTATAATTTGGAAGAGACAATGTTACTGCTTTATGCATTTTAGACTGAACCATTAAAAAATTTAATAATACTTACTCAATTTTAAAATAATAGATAAAATGTGCTACTCTTTTAACATAAAGTTCCGTGGGTTTTTTTCAATTTTTATTTGCAGGTTTTTTTTTAATGAACGTTATTTCTAATCATTTCTTTATCTGCATGTGAACTGAGAGAATTTTTATACTGCTTCTAAAATAAACTATAATAGCAGCTATTTAAATTTACTCAAAAAAACAATTTTACACTGACATAGTTTTAAACATATATGACAATATGGCAACATTTCTGCTAACCTACATTGATTTTTGCCTAATTGTAAATTTTACATTGTTATAATTCTCTTCCGATTCAATATAAGTATTATAATTTATTATTATTAAATTTTTTAAAATAATTTTGTAATTTATACTTATATCTATATTACAATTAAATAAATGTATGTAAGATTGTTACCTTAATTTGACAAAATAGCTTTACTCAGTGTACCTAATACAATTATTTAATTTTTCAAAAGTGTGAGTAAAGGAAGCAGTCTTTTTATGCCAATTACTTTGATGTTTTATACTATTACATTTTATCTGCTAGAATGCTAATTTAGCACAAATTCGAATCAATAATTAGTTACAAAGGATACAATAAGAATAACTGTAACAAGTACTTAACAAAATTAGTTTGCTTAAGTATTTGTTATTCGTGTTGGTACTATTTTGGTGCTATTCATAATACCGAAGATATTATCCGATTAACTCATAGAAGTCAGATGCTTTTTGATTTCCTGTGGAAGTGGAGTATACCTTTTGCAGTACTTTTTGAAAATAATGTTTTCTCTGGAGCGACTTTTTGTCTCTCGTTTCCCTTGACCATTAAATAATTAGGTTTTAGTTTGTGACATAATTTGATTTCTTCTCAATTTCTATTTAAAACCTCTTTAATAATAACAAAATTTAAAACAGTTCCATCTTCTAAAACAAATCCTTTATCTAAAACGTGGTTTTTCAGTAATTTGAGGCAGAGCGCGAAATGAGACCTCTGATTAAAACAAACTGCACATTTTGAAAAGAACCAAGAACTTGGTCCAGTTTAGAGTCATAGCAGAGTTTTCAATCTATATGCATTATCATCAAAACTGAGAACGCATATGTTTTCTACAGAATACAAATATTCGCCTCTTTCCTTCTTTAGAGTAAGAACATTACTTTGAACTTTTGGACTACACTAAAATTTAGCGCACCATTTCTTTAATTGCTAATACTAGGTAAAGATATTCCAGTTTTTTCTTAATTTTTTTTCTTTCCAAAAAATCATAGCTTTAAGATGACAGAGCTCTTATGACAATGCAACGTGAAATATCTTCACTAGTCCACCTTGATTTTTTCCTTCTTTTTCAACAATGCATTAATCTGCGTCTTTATATAAGAATAAAAGGCTTTAGACGTTTTTCCAAATTCTCCGATTTATGCCCCCCCCCAAATTTCGTTATTTGAGATTTTAATTTCTGATACCAATTTCTGTCTTAGATGTCGTTCACCTTCTTTGTCACTGAACAAACATTCTAAAATTTTTCTTTTCTCTATTTTTCAATACTTTAATACAATTTCTTAAGGATATTATTTTGTTCTTTCTAAATTATCAATGCATTCTTGTTTATCCTTAAACTTAGGACATTCAGGAAATATCTATATTTTCATTTGTGAGTTTTGTTTCAAAATCATTAAAATTTGATTTACTATTCATCATCAATTTCGATTTATTATTGTCAACATAATTTACTTTCGGCACAGCATTCCATTTCAACAGTTTCTTTTTGTGGCTATCCAAACAAGCGATTTTTCATATCATCTTCATAAACACTGCATAGAAAATGTTCTCTGCAGATTTTTCCGCTCTTCGCATTAATAGAATCTTGTCTTTGACATTTGTGTATCCATTCTTTCGTCAAAAGCAAAACCTCATTTGGATCCTTTGGTTCCATGAAATAAAATATCTCATCCTTTCGTGCTTCTGTAAGTGCTACGGCAAGTTACTACAGCGCAAAAAGCCATATTACGTAAATGGCACTTTACAATATAGAATTTAAAATAAAAACTGACTAAAATTACATATATATAAATTATTTTAAATATATACATTATTAGAAAACAGATATATATATATGATTAAAATTAATTTGGGATATGTAACCTCTAGAAAATCGTCTCGCAGCTGAATGAAACTACAGTTTTAAACGCGGGAAATCAGAACAGGTGGCATCGCAGTGACGTCAGATTACTGCCTGTTAATTTTCCTCATTAGGCCGTGGCCTTCGAGATTAGAATTAGAGAGATTAGAGATTGTTATCTCGAAGGCCACGATTAGGCTCGCGTCGGCGAGGAGTCGATCAAAGAAATGAGCTAGCCCTTTCTATTTATCATGGAGATAGGAAGTAAGAAGTTTCCTACCTCCATGCTATTATCCCTGGCACGAACTGCGCGGCGTTTCCTGTCCCCCATTTCTTTCCAGGAAGATTGGGTGCTACAAAAAGTCGTTTATCGCCATTAATGGGGCATTCTGTTGAGACTGCAAGCCTTTATTTTCGTTTATCAATATTGTAAAAACTGTGCATGTAAAACAAATATTAATTTAAAGTTTGGCGTGTGCTAAAAAATAAATTTCTTTTACACTCATTTTAAAGTTTTATGATGCTTAAAGAAATGATGAGCCAGATCTTTTTTATTCTCTGTAAGAATTAAAAACTTTCCAAGTTGTAGATTTTAGTCGCTGATATATATATATATCAGTTTTGAATAGTAAAATTGATAGATTAATGACATACATAAAACTGATACATAATCAACGTATCAAATATCGGATTTGTAGCTCACCTTAAATAAGTTTCTTGTCTAGATAAATATTAACAAGGTTTTAACTTTCAAATTTAACCATTTTAGGTAAAGAGTTCTAATTTAATTATAAAAATCTTTATTAAATCTAAAAATTGGACTTCTTAAGTCGTTCTAAATTCACACAAAATTATTGCAATATATTCCGTATTAACTTTCCATTTTTAATTATTGAAGTTATTTTAAGGTTATTTAACTTTGTTACAAATTCCATATTAATACTACTAGAAACGTTTAATATTTATTCTGTTTTCCACCTGGCATACATTTAATTTCTAATACCATTTTAATAAAAATTAATAATCATGAGCGTCAGCAGAATTTCATAATTGACAAAAAAAAAAATAAATAAATAAATAATAATAAAAAAAAAAAAAAAACTCCCTTATATTCATATCCTGGTTTGCAGTTCCCTTTTAATCCATTCCTTTTTCACATATTATTGCACTGTACTCAAGTTTTCATGCATGTAGAATTTATATACTTTGTATTGTATTTATGCCAATTTATATTTAAATCATAATTTTACAAAATCTTGCATCACCAACTCTAGTTAACAGAAGATGTTCTAACACTTGGCAAAGCTTAATCTTCAGCATGTAGCTTATTTTTCCAACCTAGTTTCAGGCTGAATTATTTGTAAAATTAATTACTTGAAATTATTTGTTAACAAAGATGGTCGCTAAATCACGCTAATAATATTTCTAACTGTTGTAATTTATAATGCAACGAGTTCATGTGATTTATAATGTAATTCATTTACAATTTTTTCAGCAGTATTGAAATTAATAGCAGATACTCATAATAATATACATTTAGATTACAATGATTTAGATTGCCATTGCCTTCTTCACTCATGCTTTTATGCTACATTCCTAAAATTTCATAATGGCATACAGGTAAGTTTAACTCATTCACCAAACATGTAAATCTCTAATTCAGCTCACTTTTGTTCTTACGTGTGCTGTATCTTCTATTTTCTTTGATATATTGTTCAGCCTAATTTCAAAAGGTCTTGTGGGTAAGTCACTAAACATTGGTAGTTCGACCCGAGTTTCTAGTCCCAGTGATCCCCCAGGTCTTTCTTTTTTTGTACTTATTTACTGTATAAAAATGTAGCGTAAAAATTTCAGTTCATGAAGTAAAAATATTTTTTAATTTATTCTTTAAAAGTATTGCAAGAATTTTTACCTTTACCTAACATATCTTTTTACAAATTCCTCTAATAAGAAAAAATAAGGAAAGAAATTAACTCAGTTTCGGTGATTGATACCTCGATGCAAATTATATGTAACATTTTTCCAAAAGCATAGAGTTTATATGAATATCAATAAATTAAGGATTATTTCTCCATCTAATTTTCTTAACATGTTTATTCCAGAATTTTCTTTTCACACTGTAGCGCTTTATGAGTTTTCTATAATCATTCAATTTCTCTAGCCATGGCAACTTTGCATACCTTCTGACAAGTTGTTATATTTTTAACCACTGTATTTTAATTCCTGTTGGCTATCAGCACATTATTCACTTGTTTCACAAGTGCAACTTTTATTTTATACGCAAATCTACGTAAAATAGCATTAAAACTTCAGTTATGTGGAGCTCCTGATCGATTGCTTGTTTTAGATTGAATGAAATTAAGCTTAATGTTACTGTTAATTAGCTTGTTATTAATTTAATTGTATGTTTCGAACTAATTATATGTTCAGATATTTCCAAGTATATTACACAAACTTTGCATCCTAATTTTTAGTTTTGGTTTAAAAAAATAAGCTTTTATTATTTTGAGAGGCCTGATTGATTATATTAATTTGCAGTACTGTTTATCTAATTCTTTTCTTCTAGATAAATTTTAGAAAAAACTTCTTAGCATAATAATTTAAATTAGTTACAATTTATACGTCGTCAGTGATCCAAACGCATAGTAATGTTGTTATAATAGATTTCATGCTAAGCTTTTTTTTTTTTTTAATTTAACTAATAATTTCTGCAAACATTTACATGATTGCTTTAATTAACGAAAAATATTTTAGCACACTTTAACACACTTTGATATGGAATAATGTTTTGCACTCTATTAAATTTTCTAGTCTAGTTCAGACATCTTGACTATTATTGATGTAATTTATTAAAAATATAATTTGTATGCTTTATAATTATTTAAATTATATTATTATCATAAATGAAAGATGTTTGTAATGCTAATATGTATGTTTACCAATACCTATTATTTTCTTTGTTAGCTCTAGCATTTATTACTCTTATTCAAGTAATTAGCCTGCTTGTTAGATATTTTTTACTTGTTTTTGTGATATGTAATTCTATTTATTTATTTTTATTTTCCTCTTGGCTACAATTGACACGAAAAGTTAAATTGTAACCCTGTAGGCAGCAGAGGGGAAGAAATTGTGATTGGCGCAGTTGGACTATTGCTTGACCCGGGGGGATTTTCATTAGCGCAGTTGGAGTACACCCACTTCTACAAAACAGGCCTAAAAGGCGGTTGGTTTGCGCTCGACAAACCTTTCGGCAGCGTCGCAAAGCACACTTTGACTAACAAAAAGATCATGCTTAATATATGGTGGGATTGCCATGGTATTATTCATAAAGAATATCCGGAAAAAGGTAAACTCCTTGAAAGTAAGGTGTACAGCGAAATGCTAGTGCATGTTGACGCTGCTATTAAGAAAAGACGTCGAATTGAGTTACGGCACAAAAAGGTAATGTTCCATCAAGATAATGCAAGACCACATGTGTCTGCATTCTCCGGCTGGACTCTGTACAGATTCGAATGGGATTTTTTGCCACACTCGCCACATAGCCCCGACATCGCCCCTTCGGACTACTACTACCTTTTTTCACACCTGCAGCTATATCTTGCTGCTGCTATCTTCCATTCAGCACAGGACGTTCGAAATAAGGTTGATCTGTTTTTGGACTCGCGGCCACCAAGTTTCTGGGCCGAAGGCTTTGAAAAACTACGAAAACGTTGGCAGAAATCATAGATTTGGTAGTGATTACTACCCGCACTATAAGTACTACTTTCATGTTTTGTTTTTTTCCTTCTTATTTTATTAAGAACGTTTTTGGATGGAAAACTTTCGTTAAAATGAAATACAAACAGTACAACAGTACTTTAAGAAGTCAAACATCTATAAATGTTTCTGTATTGTTTTGCTTCTGTTTACTATGCATGTACAGATCTGATGTGAGAAATATCCTTAACAGAGTCTTTCCGAAATTTTTTAACCATTAAATTAAATTTCCACAAATATATTATCTCCTTACCTTTCATGTTAGTAATAAATGAATATTCACTATTCATATATTTACCTTCTACTTGACACCGAAGTTTCACGTTCATAAATGCCAACAAATGGGTATAATTCCTCATTTAATGTACCATCTATACAGCGCTGAAAATTTATAAAATCAAACAAAAGTCAATATATATGCATATAAATTAAATTTTATTTTGATTTATATTTATCTTCATATAAAAATTCATACCAGTATAGCAATAAGTAATTGAAATTAAATCTAACATTATTTCTACCTCTAACATTCAGCAAAAAATTTCAAACATGTCTAAATGCTATATTTAAAAAAATATTTACAGTTTTGATGTTAGAAATGTCTTTAGTGGAGTCTCTGCAAAATTTATCGACCACGACGTTATGTTTGTTATCCTACCATGAATTCCTCATCCCTTTGCTCTGGCAATATTACGAAGCGATTAATGATACGAATGCGAAGTTCGAAAGACAAGTAAAATACTTGACGATTCTTGTACGAATGCTATTTTTGTTTCGACGGGTTTGCATCAGTGGTAATTTTGATCTTGATTTGGTATACAAAAATACATGACGACATCTTTCGTTTACATTTAATGAAAACATCAAAATATATCAAGTAATACAAACACATCTGAACGGCGAACCAACAGTTACATAATGTAAACACACAAAAATTCTTTCGGCGCTACAGCGCCCTCTAAATGCATCGTTATAATTACTAAAATATATTTCTGGCACCATACATTATATACCTTGTACAGAATAATTTAGCTTTTATGCACTTACTAATGAGAAGACATTTTACAGTTAATTCACTTTTATTTTATATAAAAGAATAATCACTTTAATTTTATGCAATGAAAAATTTAATCTATATGATAATTTAAACTCTTGAATCCATTTAAATATAATGAATTTACATAGCTGCTTAAAAATACTATACTTGTTAAATAAATATGAAATATTTAGGAAAATTACTGATTCATACATAGATTAACTTTTTTCTAGCTTCACATGCGTTATATGACAGCAGAATTTGATCCAGTTTTCTAGTTCCTTATATTCACATACAAATACTCATTATATACATAGCTGATTATAGCTATGGAAAATGTAAAAAAAAAAAAGGGCTTAATGATGACGATTCTGCAAGGTGTCTATAAATACGTCAACAGATGTATTACATGGACCTTATAAGAAATAGACTAACCCAAACGGGTTTTCTCCCTTGTCTGAGGCGTTGCCGGCTGTCACCTTGATCACATCCGGAGGAGTAGGGACGATATGCAGAAATTTAACATTGGTTGCCTATTGCAGCGTGTATAATTGTCAAGAAAAAGCTGTCTGTAGCGCCTCATTTCCCAAATTAGAATTTATACATATTTTTAATTTTTAAATTGAGATTGTTTTTTAAAAATTTAGCATATTTATCAAGCATAATTAACGTTCCAAATAATTATAAAGCTATTGCATGCTTTCAGGACTGGATATTTTTTTAGCTTTTCCTATGCTGTAAGGAAATTTGTAACTACTTCTTTTAGAAAATTAATATTTTAAATCTGAACTAATAGAAAATTTCAAACAAGCAATTTTCTCTTGCAATTTTTATGCTTTTTATTGGTGTAAATAAGTAAAAAATACTAAAATATTTAAAAATGAATTTTTGAAAGTTTTGTTCAAAATTCTCAATTGTGCTACTTTTTTAAAAGTATAGTTGAGTATTATAGCACAATTTCTATAAAGGAATTTTATTTCAATTATATTTCATAATACATCATAGTGATAAACACTTTTGACTCCTTAAAAATTTTTATGCATTTAATTCTAATATTAAAATTGTATTTAACCGTAATAATTAATTTTGATTGCATTTTGCAGTGATTATTTTTTTTAATTTATCTTTAGTTCAGCGTAAGATTTTTTTTTTTTTTTTTTTGTTTTAGTTACTGTTAATTTAATTTATTAGCCCAAAGAGCGGTAGTTAGCCTAGAAAGGCTGTTAGTTCGAAGCGGCATTTTGCGCTGTTTTACTATAAATGTCCGTGTCTCCTTGCAAATTGTTGTTACCAAATATTATCGCTCTGTATTATATGTAAAGAAATTAAATAATGAAGAATCTGCATGAATACATGTATGTTTCTCGCACTGTGACAAAAACGACGGTATCTAGAGCCATCAAATTTTAAAATAATGTAATCCTCCACCGAACATGGGCATCTGGACGGCGAATTTCGAATTTGTTTTAATCTATTTCATATTTTGTAAAACTTTAACGAATTTTGATTAACAAACTCAACGAGTTCAGAGCGAGCACTGTACGGAAAATAACAGTTTTATCTCCAGTGCGGAAATTCTAAAGATATGCTGTTTTCAAATGTATGTGGTTTACGGGCGAAGAACATGATATTCAATAAATATAGGTAACACACAAAACTTTAAAAAAGGTTCCTTTTGGGCGTAATATAAAATCTGAGTGCTTCTAGATTTTATTTTATCTTTTTTTCCCCCTTCATTACGCTCAGAAAATTTTATGCTCCGAATTTTATGAATTATTAAAATAACTAATCCACTTTAATGTTAATAATTTCATGGTCATATAATCAAATAAATATGATCGTTTTATAACGTTATTATAGGTTGGAAAATCACTGCCCGAAAATGTTCATTAAATTTTTTTAAAAAATTATCAGATCTTGTTTAATTTTACCTTATTTATTTCAAAGCATCGCGTACTATCAATCTTATTTAATTTTAATTTATTTTTACGCAAAATTAAGTTCATAAATTTTGTGCTTAAAGTGTTTACCGTTTTACCAAAGTAAAGACGTTTGTACAAGAATTACGCGTGAAAAATTGCACGAAATGCAGTAAAAAGTGCTTTAATGAGATATATTAAATCCTATTTGAGAAAAACTGTGGCTTTCATAATCTCATCATTATATAACATATCACGTTTAATAATTAAAAAGAGTTATGTGATACAAACATTTACGTAGGTTTCAGTGTTAAAGTAAACCAGATCGTCCCTACTCTTTGTTGCCGACATGTCTGTGACGCGTGCCCCGCCCACTGGGTTAGTCTATCTGTTATGGTCCATGATGTATTATAAAATGTGTTTCAGAAAAACAAAAAGATCATATCGTCATATTCATTAATTTAAAAACTTTTTTTTAAAATTGTTACTTTCATCAATAAACCTTTGCATGAGCTACATGCTGGATAAACTCCATTAGAATCCCTACCAGAAAATGCATTCAGCCATGTGATCCTTGCATTTAACTGTGCATTGATTCATTCTTTTCATCAGCAAGAAGACAGTTATCTTAGATATGCCTGTACTGTATAATTTCTGTAATTTTTTTTTTTAAACTCTTTTAACTTTATTTGGTGTTTTATGTTTTTCCGCATTTTACAATTTTTAATGGAAATATGTTGAGCTTTTATGTATTTCTGTTTTTCCGCGAAGTGAGAGCTGAATTAATTGATTGAGAAATATAATTCTAATGAAATTCGAGGGCATAAATTTAAATGAAATGCAGCAAAAAATTCCTATAATTTAATATTCCACACAAGGAAGTCATGTAGATCAGATTTTTAATTTATATATAACCTTAATATTTTAAAATGTTTATTAAGAATAAAGTTTGCATAATATATATAGTAATAAGCTTTTGTTTTATTTATTACATTATTTTTTAAATCTCCAACACTCAAATGTAAAAGGAAAAATAATGTACTATTTGTATAAAAATCCCATAATCAGCCTATAAATAACATTTTTTCACCGAATTCCATAGTAAACATCTTTAATTGTTTATTCATAAAAATCTAACAAATTCGAAAAGTAATTAGATACGCTATGGATACCTTTTTTAGATATATTTAAAAAAATGTTTGGGATGCTTAGGGATGTTAAATATTAATGGCATCACATTTGAGAAAAAAATTTTTAGATTTGTTGTGATATGTTCCCAAACGCTCTACCTCCAGTTACCTAATATTACCTAATATTTCTTATTTTCAATATTTTTCTAATATATTAATAAGTATTTTGTTACAAAAATAAAGAGAAAAAGATTTTTTCCATAAAGGAACATTAGCACATAGTTTTCATGAAATATTTATGTTGTGTACCACCCATTGCATTTTTTTTCTTATGTTTTATGTTTTAAATATTAAAACACAAAAATTTATGTATTCCAATGACTTACAAGTATGATATTTTTAAGAACAGGTGTCCATCGAGACTGTCTGAAATTGATTACTGAGTCACTTGATTTTACAATGGGTACATCATCCATGTATTCACAAAACCCCTGAAAATGTTGAAGCTCTAAATTACAGAAATAAACCATACTTTATAAATAACACTTTACAAATTATAAATAATCATGAATGCTTTAGATTTTTCAAGGGACGGGTAAGATAAAAACCCGTTTGAATGATTTGCACTGTAACTTTTATCATTTGAGTCATTTTATTGTAAATATTAGGATTTAAATTAAAAGACTCATGATGAAAATCATAGAACTCCCTTGAAGCCTGGAAACTCCTCCGTAATTGCAGCCTTTATTGGGCCAAAGCACGGAGGAAGCCCCGAAACTACAACCGACAGGAGGTAGGCTATAAACACAAATAGCCATGCTCGGTTTCCGTCCGGGGGCACTTCTCTCTTCACCATTCTAGTAGCACGTGGGGGTACGTCTACAGCGTGGTCGGGAGACTCACCTGTAACTTATAGAGCACAAATACAGGCAGCAAGAGTATTGAAAATACACAATATTCATCAGATGTCAACTCTACACCATGCGCAAACCATTCGCAGCAACCGCTATACAACTTCATCGACACCCCATTTTTGTATGCGTTCTTTTTGTTGTAATCAGCTTTCCAAAGGTTTTTATAAACAAATGATATTTTTTGCCTTAAACTATTTTAAAAATCCGTGCTTTTAGAATTTGCCGGCATTGGAAGAAACTGTGGTAAAATTTTTGCAGGAATACAGTATTTTGCCGCAAAGTCTCTAAAGGGAACAATAAAGAGATGCGTTTGGTAGATAGACGATGTTGCCGAGGTTTGCGTGATGTCGAAATTGCAATTCTTTGATGTTATTTTAAATAAAAACTGATCGCTCTGTATTTGGGAAGACGAATAGCGCCAAAAATTTGCAGATAAATTTGAAGACGAAAATAAGTGTTTAATTTTTTTAAATATATCATGTAATTCTTGTTTGATAATTAAAATTTGTATTTTAAATTGCTAAACTATGTCTTATTTTCATATTTTGATGACGTTTGCCGACTAACGATAAACATCCATAGTTTGGGAATCTTTTAAACAAAAAAAGTCGCGAAAACCACCAACTCGCATCCGGTAAGTAACTTTGACCTTTTCATCCGCAAAAGATATCCAAATTACGCCATGAAGATTGCATTAATACATAAGTACTTACCAAACAATATTAATCTAAATTTAATGCCCAAAAGTAGGTGTACTGTGGGAAAAAAAAATGCTGTAAACTCATTTGCCATAGTATTTAGAAACCATATTCTATATCTATAAATAGAAACTTTTCCTAGCTGTCCTATTATACCTTTTTTCTAGCTACTAAGTATATAATATTTGCTAATCAATATTCCATTTTTTGATAATGAGGAATATTTACATTATATATATAAACAAATGTTTTTCATTATTACAGAAAGAAAAAAAAAGCTTCAATTTTCGACCGTTAACCGTTACATAGTTTATAATTACATTTGTTCTTAATTTATTCAACAAATTGATATTACAACATTGTTAAAAGTTCTTGATGAGTTTGCAACTGAAGAAGCAGGAGTAAAGGTGTCATCTTAAAGAAAAAGAGCAATGAAGTTTGTAGCATTGACATCTTTTGCATTTTCTTCTTTTATACAAATTCTGTGTGCCAGGCCCGCTTTTATTTAATTTTTTTTTAGTGGCACTGAAATTTCTTCAAAATGGGACCTTCAAAACGCACCTTCTGTAATAGGGCTGATGTTTTGCCGATTTTAAGTTTCACTTTGGCATGTTTCTCTTCTCTTTTGATCTTAAGCTCAGATGTATCATTAGGTGCTGTTCTCTGAGCATCATGAACTTATCCATTATTTAACAGGGCGTGCTTATTGTTAAAGTTTCTTCATATGACTTACATCGCAATCCTTTTGTGCATCAACAACATTTCAGTATTCGGCACTAAATCCTTGAAGTCCTAAAAAACTATCTGAAACTGCGTAAATGATTTTATCAAAAAATTAATAAATTATCAAAGAAAACAATGTTATTTGATGCCAAGACTATATTTTATTCCTGATGATAATATCATAAAGAATAATCCAATACCTCATGCCAAATAATGTTTACCTTATGCATTATTTTCAATCGCCTAGGAAGTTTTCAATCGCCTTACATCACCTTTGTAAAATATCTGGTTGTAACGAACGTTTTCCGCCAAAAAACTTTCTTATTATAAGGGGAAAAAAAAAAAAAAATGAAGCCAGTACTTTTAGTGCGGGTAAGTAAACACACATAAATCTATGATTTTCTGCCAACGTTTTAGTAGTTAAGTGTTTTCTGGGCTCCAGCTCAGAAACTTGGTGGCCGCGAGTCCAAAACCAGATCAACCTCATTTTGGACGTCCTGTGCAGAATGGAAGATAGCACCAACAAGATTTAGCTGCAGGTGTGAAAAAAGGTAGTAGTCCGAAGGAGCGATGTCGGGGCTATGTGGCGAGTGTGGCAAAAGATCCCATTCGAGTCTGTACAGAGTCCAGCCGGAGAATGCAGACACATGTGGTCTTGCGTTATCTTGATGGAACATTAACTTTTTGTGCTGTAACTCAATTCGACGTCTTTTCTTGATAGCAGAAAAACTTCCGTTAAAACTCGATGTTTTGATATATACCTCCCACGCAATTCTTATCATTTCAATACAGTTTGAAATAGTAGAGACTTTTCAAGATCATGAAATATTAAAAAAAAAAAAAAAAAAGAATCATACGTAAAGAATTCTCTCTCTATCCTTCTCCTATGCTTTCGTGGTGTAATTTGGAGAATGTCCAGCTAGCAACTGGGAGGTCAGGAATTATAATCCCAGCAAGAACATTGCTGATCCTTTATGTTTCTTGGCTTCAAAAAAAATTCTAATGACTCTACACACACACTGAAGGTATAAGGCCTGGTTACAATTGGAAAACAATCAAAATTAACTTAATTCATTTGGAAATTAAAAAAATAACTGCTGCATTAGAAATGGGTTTATTAGAAAGTAATTATACAGGCGTTTTTAAGAGATTCAAGAAGCTAATTCCCCAATATCTTTGTAGGTTTTCCATTTCTCTCTCTCAAAGGCATTTATTTGAAATAAATTAAAAATTAATGGACCTAATTTTTTTAAAAAAAGTAAATACACTAAAAGATTAGACATCCTTCCATGTTGTGCTGATTTTAGAATTTTATCGATTTTATTTCATTAGATTTAATTTCCCCCCCCCAATGTCGAGCAATTGCCTATGCCGGCATCGCCTACTATATATGTTTCCACTGTTATAGTATGTAAAGATAATTAAATTCAATCTTTTAAATATTAAATTAATTTAACTAAAATTTTGCTAAAATTTTTGTAAAAATTTTTAATTAAAAGCCCAGTTTTTGCTATGAAGGAAATTAATTTCAAAGAATCTATTTGATGAATGCAATTTATTTCAAATATTAAAATGCCATTATGTATAATTCTTTGTAATGACATCTTGAGCAGTAAAAATTTAGCAAATGCATTTTAAAGGATTACAAAATAAGTATATTCTTAATGAAAAATAATAACTTACTGGTCTAAAAACATCAACATCAAAATGTAGCACATTAGTGATTGAATATGCATCAGAGAAAGGCAAATTAGCTTTATTCACTATCTCATCAAAATGTGATTTAGTGATTCCTAAAATAAAAAGTCATAGTTAAAAACAACAACTGAATGAAATTTAAAATTGGAAAAAAAAAAAAATGTAGGTAATAGTGTAAAGAAAAAGAAACTGAACTGAAAGCATATATTTACTCTTAGAAGAAATTAGGCAGATTTAAGTGACGCATATGAAATCAGTGCCATCCAATAATAATTAATGGATATTTCGAGTGTATAATTTTACTGCTACAAATTTTAAATAATTTGCATAATTATTTTATGTCATTTGCAAATTAATACAAGTTTGATCTTCTAGTAAATTATTGAGAGATTTAGATACTCTGATTCTTTGTTAGCCACAGAATAGTAAAGATTTTCCAATCATAGTTATTTACCATTTAAAAGTATTTTCGGAAACTCTTCTCTCAGAGCTCATCTATCGCAAAAAGGATTTTGAATGGAAATACAGCATAAAAATCAAAACGTATTTCATTTAGCTTATGATTACTTTGAATAACACTCATACTTAAGGATATATACATTATACAAACATTGAAAACTCAATTACGACTGGTGTCCTTGAAAAATAAATAAAGATGTCTTAGTAGAAACGAATAATAAAACAGCTTGCTATCAAGTTGACTGATTAAATATAAAAATTAAGGATAAACGGCCTTAGGCTCTTATTCTTTGCTTTGTGTGTAAGAAAGAAATATTCCTGCTGTGCATGCTCTTATACAATGGCATTCTTTCAGTTAGAAAATTCTTTGAATTTATGTTTCGTAAACCAAATACAGCTATTTACAACTATGAAATTAATAATTGGATTTAGTTCACTAAATTCAGCTAGCGTAAAAGATATTATTTTGCTCATTTTTACTACACTTTATCTGTGGTATATATCCAATCCGTAGTCAGTAAGTTAATTATTACATAAAGCATTTACTACTTGTTTCGAACTAAAACGACTGTAGTATGAGACATCAGTAAGATGATTTCCAGAATTTCTTATATTCTGGCATAATTTTTTTTTAAAGTTTAAACTTTAATCAATTCTTTTCTGCCTTTCATTTTAAATTGCTTTGTGCTGATACGTATAGCCGCATGGTAACATATGTAACAACTAAATATGTATAGTAAATTTAAAAGTAATTTCTGAGAAAGAAATATTTGTTTTATACAAATGATATTAGAAACGTCAGCATCATTTTCAGCTGGACTATAATTTCATCACAAGTAAATACAAATGATATATATAATTACAAAATTCATAATTTTGAAATTTCATATTGGGTTGATTGTAATCAATTACAGAAATGTAATGAATTAATTAGATCAGCGGTTCTCCACCTTTTGACTAACGTGTAACATCTAAACAAAAATTGAAAAACTTTAGTTCCACCACTACATTTTACAATGATTATTTTTCAATTTCTAAACAGAAATATTAAAAAAATATATTTTGCCATTTGCGCAACTTATGGGTACACATAAGTTATATTAAATGTGCACACATAAGTTATATTAAATGTGCACACATAAAAAAATATTAGATTAAAAATTGGTTACCATTTTAATTGTCAAAATTTAAGTTATAATACTTTAATTCTAAAATTTAGTGTGAAATTTGGGCCTGTTTAAGAGAGATCAATTTCTTTATGTCTGCTTATTTTACTCAACTTTAACCGTAAATTAAGATCCAATCTTAATTTTGTTCTGTGTTTCTTTTTCAAATAAAACGTGGAAGAAAATACTTGTTTACACAAATATAGGTTGTGCAAAAAGGCAATAAAAATTTAACAGCTTTATTTGAAACGCCTTTAAATTCTTCTTTTGGGCTTAGCCAAGAGTTAACAAGTGTGTTATTTGTACAATCTTCAGTTAGAGATCTATTACAGGAAATTTCTATCAGTTGTTCTTTTTCTTCACGAGATTTTTGAATTTAATAGTTAAAAATACTTTCTTTCTTGCGCACCACTTATTTTTCTCTTGCGTACGCAAGAGAAATATTACAAATATTACTATCTAAATAATATTCTAAATATTACTTACTATCTGCCTAAGAAGGTACAATTTGGTACGTGGTTGAGATTATTTTCAATATAATTTTTACTAAAAATGTAATTTAATAATGTTTCTTAGATTTTAGGTTTGCAGTAATGTCCTCTGAGTTTACAATCATATTTTAAATTCATTAATTATAAGAAAAAAACATATTAGTTTATAAAAGCCACGGGTAGCCCTGTTCAGATGATTTTGAAATGTTACAAATATTTTAAAATTTATTCTTAGTTCTACATCTGAAAAGTGTGGTTGTCTCCAAAATAATAAATGCTCTACCCAGTAATTCTACCTAATGAAAATAATCCAAAAAGTTAGAATATTTGACATGACATCAATAAGTGTTTAAAAAGCTCAAGATACATTTAAGAATAAAATCCAGAATTAAAATAACTAACATTTAAAAAAATTTAATTTATTAAGATGCAATCAAAAAGATTTCATTTCTGGGCTACACAATCTGATAAATTATGCAAATTTACATACAGTACAAAGTCTGAGATCCAGAACTGTCGGACATAAGCAAATCCAAATTTCTGAAATTTCCGGATTTAATAATGTTTAATTTCCGGATTTTAAATAATCATTTTTAGTTCCTTGTACAAAGTAAAGAAAAATAATACATAAATAAATTATTTATAAATTTAAGTTTATATATTCATAAGCTCATTTTAAATTAAATAAAACGTAATTTATGAAAGTATTATCAGAGATATCAAGAAAAAAGTTCCTAGTTTACGTCAGAATCAACTTACAATGGGACAACTGGAACACTACTAATTTAAATTGATTTAAGAACTACCTGATTTTAAAAACATAATTAATATACACAAATTTTAATAAGAAAGATGAAAATTATAAGAAGAAAATATATTTTTAAGAATTCACTTCAAATCTGCAATCTGTTCGTATCTTTACACTTTCATGTACAAAAGTTCGTAGTTTATATCTGTGGGATGGCATCGTTCATTATAATCGGATGACGCGACAAGCTGTGAGAATAAATCTTTTACTTTCTCGATGATAGAAGTCAGACGATTCAGCATTTAAGACGATGACGCGATTAAAAGATGTCTGAATGTAAAAGATGATTCCTTCTCTTCATTTGTAAATAATCTCACCTATTTCCTTCTACGTATGTAATTACTTTGTAGTTTGTAGCAACTATTCATGTTTCATTAAATTATTCAATATTTCAAGTTTACATAAATCGGACTAGTTATTAGCCCCTAAACAGCCACCTAAGAAGTAAGTTTACAAACATCATATTCCTAGACAGGAAGTACCGTTTCTACAGATTTGGGTGCTCAGGCCGCGATGAGCCTAGAAAGAATCATGATGAATATTACAAAAGAAAGGAAGTAAGTTTTGTTCCGATTATTTCCACATCGTTACTTTCTAAGAATAGTGTTGTACGATACTGTGAATTAAGATGAACTACCTTAAATTCTACTTCCTAGAATTTCAAATTCTTTACGGAATGGGCCTACTAAGTTAATTAAACTCTTACATCAAATTGTGTTTGGAACTTTGGGTGATCGAAAAAATAGAGCGAGATTGCATAACTTTTGTGTTTTTCCATCTGATTTTAATACTGAAAAAACAAAACACACATTACTTAAAACTCTTACTGCAAACGATTTTATTTCTGTGTGTAATTTGTTACATCTTAATTATGATAAAAACTGTGATTTAATATTGAATAGTCTTTGTGATTTTAAGCTTTTAAAATCCGAAAGTGATGACGACGATGAGTTATCTGAAAACGAAAGTGTTTATGATTCTGATAAAAATGATGATATTAATTCTGTTCGGTCAGAATCATCTCCCATAAATAACTCAGTGGATGAAAACATTATAATGCCTAGCAATATTTCCCTACGTTTTCGTGATATCTTAGAAACTGTTTCTGAATTTAATGGCACTGATACATATCCAGTTGAATCCTTCATCGGTGATTTAGAAGAAGCTTTTAAATTATTTAATTTATCGGAATTACAGAAAATCGTGTTTGCTAAAAATTGCTTACTGGTTCTGCTAAAGTATTTATTAGGTCTTTGAAGGGTATAATATTATGAGACAAATTAAAAGAAAATCTTTTATCTGAATTTGGTTCTAAAATAAACAGTGCACAACTTCATAATTTGTTACAGAAACGACACTTGAAACCTGGTGAATCACTTTCAGAATATTTAATTGCCATGCGTGAAATAGCCAGTCGCGGTTCTGTTAATGATTCATCAATTCTTGATTATGTAATCAATGGGATACCAGATCAGAGTAGTAACAAAATTGTTTTGTATGGGTGTAAAACTATTTTTGAATTCAAAGAGAAATTAAAAATTTATGAGAAAATTCGCTTTCCAGATACGAAAAATAAGGGTTATTCAAGTACTAACACACAAAATAAACACGTGCGTACCTAGTAAGATAAAGAGCCAGGTGTTATAATTGTGGAAGTTTAGGCCATAAGTCGGATTTTTTGTAACAATAAGAGTAAAGGATTTAAGTGTTTTAAATGCGATTTGTTTGGACACAAAGCCGTAGATTGTTCGAAAACATCATCTAAATATATCCAAGATGCCAAAGCTGTTACTACAATAACTCAGACTTGTCAGAAAGAAATGCATAAAACTGTTAATTTAGGTAATTTGCAAATTGATGCTTTAATAGATACTGGTAGTCAAGTAACGCTAATCCAAGAAGGCATACATAAGAAGATATGTTCTCCTGAACTAAAGTCGGCAGATCTACAGTTAACGGGGTTTGGTAATGGGAAAACTAAGCCTAAAGGAAGGTTTGAATGTGAATTCGAAACTAATGGTTCGTCATATCGATCCAATATTTGTTTTATCGCAGAAAACTAGAAATCTGAGAATGATTTTGAACAGCAGAAAAATGCTCTTTGCAATGGAAATGGTTCTGAAGAAGGATTTGAAAAAGTCGTGGTTTTTTACTTCCAAAACCAGAAACTGATCCTGTTAGTATAGTTCCTGTTACAGTACAGAATGTGATCAAAACCGGAACATCACCACAATCAAAGCAAGTGGCAATGATTTCCTGATTGTGAATTCTGACGATGTCCCAATGATGCAGATTCTGATATAAGTGAAAAATGATGCTATTAAGATGAATTTGAATTAGTGCAAAAAGGAAACTCAAGCACAATACAATTAGCTTCGAAGCCAACCAGAAGAAACGACACTGCAGAAGGAGATTCTGAAGAGAATCATTTTCCGAAGAAGAGTCAGTGCTAAAGATGATGAATCAAAAGTGAATTCTACTAGAACAATTTCAGTAAAAATACCTTGCAATAGAGAAGCAAAAGAAGCCATTGGAGACGAAGAGAAGAAACTACAAAGACCACCGAAGAAGAAGAGAAGATTGAAAAGCAGAAGTCAGTTAGAAAAGTCTGATGACAAACAATGCTGATACAGAAAGCAAAGACGGAAACAAAAGAAACTTAAAGAAGGTGAGAAAAAAGAAGCGTAAATGCAGATTCAGAAGACCCAGGAAAAACATCGAAAATCTTTGATAATGAAATAAAGATTTTGATGATTCCTGATTTACACTATTTCTCGACTAGACGAATTTCTCCCGATTTGATTAATGGACTATTGTTTTAAAGATATGAACTAATTTAAGAAGACTAAAGACGATGTCTAAGGATGAAATGTATGAAGGAAGACGGCTAAAAGAAGACGATTTTAAGAAGACGCATTCGAATGACGGATCTTGAAGATATCTAACACGCATTCAGAAGACGTATCCAGACGGTATCTAAGAAGACGCATTCAGAAGACGTTTAACGATGTTTAAGAAGACATAAATACGAAGAGGAATCCAGACGAATTGTTCTAGACAACATCAAAGGAATACGTGTTTGGGAAATACATGTATTCAGATAGACTTGTTTAAGATGAACGAACGAACACTGAAAGAGCATTTAAAGAAGGCATAAAGCCGTTATTTCTGAGGATGTTAAGATTGATAAGGGAAGGTGGCTCAAATAAACTATTTAAGACGACTTTTCCCTCCTCAATAGTAACTAAATTTTTTTTTTTTTTTAATTTTATTTTTCAGATCACTAGATGTAGATGGTGGTGCTACGAGAATGCGAGGCCGCATTCCATCAGGATGGACGAGCAGTTGTGGAATGGCATCGTTCATTATAATCGGATGACGCGACAAGCTGTGAGAATAAATCTTTTACTTTCTCGATGATAGAAGTCAGACGATTCCGCATTTAAGACGATGACGTGATTAAAAGATGTCTGAATGTAAAAGACGATTCCTTCTCTTCATTTGTAAATAATCTCTCCTATTTCCTTCTATGTATGTAATTACTTTGTAGTTTGTAGCAATTATTCATGTTTCATTAAATATTCAAGTTTTACATAAATCGGACTAGTTTATTAGCCCCTAGACAGCCACCTAAGAAGTAAGTTTACAAACATCATATTCCTAGACAGTAAGTACCGATTCTACATATCTTTTTGGCTGAAGTTATGAAACTTGTTAGTTTCACACATACAGTTTTTCATTAATTTCCTATCATTTTACCTATTACACATATGCTATAATAAAATCATTACCTACCTTTGTTAAAGAATATGTAAAGCAAAAATAGTCTCAGTTTCTGTATATCATTATATGAATTAGAAGAAAGAACATTTAAGAGAGAAGTCAGAACATTCTTAACGGGCATTCCATCAGCTGATTTACCCAAAACTAGGTCCTAAAAATAATTAAAAAATAAAAGATAAAAATTGTTTGATTGATTGCAAACACCAAATGTGGAGAGGGAGAAAACATGAAACAAAAATTAGAATGTGAGTGCGAAAGATTCTATGTTCTTATTACTCGCAATAAATATATGAAAGTGTTTTATGCTAGAAATTTAAAATACATAACAAAAAATAAAATTATTAATAGCAGCAGTATTGCATTTGAATTTAGACATTCAAGAGAAATCATTTTAAAATTTTGACCTCATATGGAGTGAAAGGTACAGGCTTGGATGTCTCAATTCAGTTTTACAAATAATTGCTGTTTAAAAAGATTGTAGCCATTGAGTTTAAATATACAACAAGTTAATGATTTTCAAAACATATTTTTAAAAAATTAATAAAAAATGCCGTAAAAATGAATAATAGTAGTAAATAATTATATGTGTTATTTACTACTATTATTCATTTTCTTGACAGATATCAAGCTTAAAAATCAGAAAAGTAAGGAATCAAACTTTTCGAAACTGTTTATTTCTTTTCTGTTGACGAAAACATAACACAAAATACATTCGTACTAACAAGAGTATATGTTGCCAGGCATGATAGTCACCTCTTTTCATTCTTATACTTTTTATAATTTCACCCTCTCCATTCCTTAAATCATGATTAGAGAAGTATACGTAAATGGTATTTCTGTAAGTACGATTAAAAGAACTTTGTAACCAATCCCTTAACATAAACTGTTGGACTAACTGTGACAACAAGGCTGCCCTTTGGTGAGTAGCCAGAGAAGTACTTCAGTAAAAGCCAAGCGTCTAACTTGATAGGTTGTATCAGACTCTTGTTCTGTAATTTTCTTAAAGTTAAATGTAATGTCCGTGTAACTTAAACCTGTTAATAAATATTTGTTACACTATACAGGACTCTTATATGACCCTATCTGAAACGACCTCCCCCCTCACAAAGTGGCGCCCAACATAAGATCGACAAACTAGTATTTGTTATGGTTGTGGAAAATCAGGCGTCGTTAAGGCTAAGTGTCCAACCTGCTCTCCTCCTTTAAGTAAAGAATCAGCCGACTTCAAAGCAATAAACTTACCTACAGTGTCTGTAGAGACACCTCAAACGACTCTTTTAAGAGTAAAAAATCAACGGATTTACGGAAATTGCCTGTGCTGATACTGGCGCTACTCGCACTATAGCGGGAAAAACATTATATAATCTCTTGAAAGAACAAGGATCAGAATTTAAGGAAAACTACAATGAAGGTCACTCTTACCGACGGTATTCAAAGGGACGAAGAGGTCCACATGACCCAGGTAGATATTCACATTGAAGGAAGATCATTTCGCATAACTTTACTTGCCCTTCCCTCAGCAAAGGGTAACAGGACACTTTTAGGATCGGATTTTCTTAGAAGCGTTAGAATTGTTTTAGATCTACAAAATCATTGTGGTTTTACCACGATAATCCGCAACAAAAGTTTAAGTTTATTGATGATGATTCTAAACTTAATGATCGAACCGAATGTGCGTCGGAAGTTGACACTGTTAAGAGAATGTGGAGAGCAACATCTATCGGCTCATCAAAGATCACAATTAAATGAATTATTGAGTCAATATTCAACTATCTTCCAACCAGGGGAAGAAGTAACACCTTTCATAAAACATCGAATTAAAACTGGTAACCATCCCCCAGTAGCTGTACCACCGTACAGAATGAAACCTGCTAAAAAAGAAATCTTAAAGCAAGAAATTGACAAGCTCTTATCCGAAGGAATAATTGAAGAATGAGAATCCCCTTATGCATCCCCAGTTGTTTTAATACCGAAACCTAATGGAACGGTACGCCTCTGCATAGATTACCGGAAATTGAACGCGATTACAGTTCCAGATTCCTACCCACTTCCGAGAATGTATGACCTGTTACATGAGGAAAAACCTACTCCTTTCATGTCAACCCTTGATCTTCGTGCAGGTTATCACCAAGTGAAGGTTCATACTGATGATCAAGACAAGAAGGCATTTGTGTGTCCCTTCAGAACATATCGTTTCTTACGAATGTCCTTTGGTCTTCGGAATGCCCCAGCAGCTTTCCAGAGATTGACAGACCGTTTTCGCAATGGACTTGAGAACATCCTAACCCTCACCTATCTGGACGCCATAATCGTGTTGTCAGAATCATTCGAGAAACAGCTTTCTGATCTCAAAGCTGTTTTCGAAAGGCTTTTGCTCTTTAAACTGCACGCAAACAGAGAGAAGTGCCACTTCGCTTCTTCTCGTGTGAAATATTTGGGATTTTGGATCACACAAAAGGGAATCGAAGTTGATCCAGAAAAAGTTTCCTCTATCCAGAAAATTCTACCTCCCAAAAACATCAAGGAACTCCAATCCTTGCAAACGTGTTCGTGGTTTAGACGATAAATACAAAACTTCGTGGAAATATCACGATCTTTTAGTGATTTGACGAAGAAGAAAGTCCAATGGGAATGGGGTTTCAACCAGCAAAAAGCATTTGAAACTCTAAAACAATGCCTCATAACACTTTCTGTGTTGAAGAAAGCCAATGGAACTCAACCGTATATTCTTAGAACAGATGCAAGCAATTATGCTCTTGGAGCCGTTTTACTTCAAGGGGAAGGGTCTAAAGATGACCCTATCGAATATGCCAGCCGACTGCTTTCTCCGGCTGAGCGAATCGACAGCCCTCTCTGTAGCCTGGGCCCTGAAGAAATTTCGTGGTTACGTCGAAGGATCAGAAGTAATTATAGCATCCGATCATCAACCTTTAAAATGGCTTTTGAACCTCAAGTCTTCAACGGAAGACTTGCTAGATGGTCGCTTGAAATTCAGTCTTTCAACCTGAAAGTACAATACATTCCTGGAAAGGCAAACGTCATTGCTGACATGCTGCCTCATCCAAGCTCCGAACATGAAGTTTCACCTTGTGAGATTTCAAATATATCTCTAGTGACATGCCCACAAGAAGTCCAAAAGACACGTGGGAATCTCAACTTAAAGGTGAAAACTTCAAAAAAGATTATAGAAAGTTTCGAATCTACTCAGAAAACTGAAGAATGTGCCAACTGGACTGAACGGGGATTCTTAATGAATCAAGGTGTTCTCTACCGATATGTCCCTGACTCTGATTCAGAAGAGGCCCACTTAGTAATTCCAACTGCCGGGCGTGAATCCATCATGCGAAAGCACCATGATGACCCAATGGCTGGACATTATGGAGAGGAAGGAACATTCCAACGAATTGGCAGACGCTATTATTGGAATGGTATGAAAAAGTACATATTCGACTATGTGAAAAGCTGTCCTGAATGCAACCGCTACAAGGCTACCAACCAAAAGCCAGCTGGATTGCTAAGAACCCCTGTCTATTCTCAACGTTTTGAGATCATATCTATTGATTTGTTTAGGATCCACTGCCAAAGCCTGATACTGACTGACTGGAAAACAATGGATCTTCATTGTCCTAACGACTGTGCTACGCGATCGGTTAAATTATTTCTTCTTGCTCAAGCTACAGCACGCGACTGCGCTATAACCCTCATCGAAGAAGTATTCATGCGGCATGGTATACCACGAAGAATCATCAGCAATAACGGAACCCAGTTTATCAGTGCAGTCATGCAACAAGTTTGCTGCACATTAAATATCAATTAAAACCTGATACCAGTTTACTTTCCCCAGTCAAATCCTGTGTAACGAAAAAATAGAGACTTAAAACCTCGTCTCGCAATCCTAGTAGGAGATGCGCATGGCAACTTCATTCGCAACTCCCAGTTATTCGCTTTGCTATGAATACGGCCGTCTATGACACAACAGGCCATACACCAGCATTCCTAATGTTTGGAAAAGAGCTGAGGACTGTCGACGACGTTGTTTACGATTTCAAAGCTGTGGTTGAAAATGATAACTTTGTTCCTGAAATCACCCCTTATCTTAAACGATTCGCAACTATTACAAAGGACCTACGAGAGCGTATCAAAATAAAGCAAGATCAAAGTAAAAAGCAATATGATAAAGGAAGGAGACAAGTGTTTTATTCACCAGGTGATAAAGTAAGGGTCAATTTACATCCCGTTAGCAATGCAAAAAACAAAAAAACTTCAAAGTTCATACCAAAGCGTGACGGGCTATACTTGGTAATGACACAGAAATCACCTACTTCCTATGTTATTTGAAGCCTTAACAAACCATCAGAACCGTTAGGCACGTACCATAGGTCTGCACTAACACCTTTCAAAACCTCGTCCACTTATCCCATTCTTCCGCTCAGGAAGAGTGGTAGACCGCCAAAAGTTACTTTGCATTCCCGATATAATCAAGAACTTGTGGTTCCGGACAGTGCTTCAAAGAGAGGTCCCCTTGCTCAGGAGACAAAAAAAAAAAAAAAAAAAAAAAAAAAAAACACCCTGAGCCTAGAGACAATGTTACAAGAGCTCCCAAATCCTCCAGTTCTGTCTTGTTGCCGGGACGTCGGTGGAGCCAGAGGGAGAGTTTGTTAACCAATCCTTTAACATAAACTGTTGGACTAACTGTGACAAGGCTGCCCTCTGGTGAGTAGCCAGAGAAGTACTTCAGTAAAAGGCAAGCGTCTAACTTGATAGGTTGTATCAGACTCTTATTTTGTAATTTTTTTAATGTTAAATGTAATGTCCGTGTGTAACTTAAACATGTTAATAAATACTTGTTACACTATACACTATACAGGAGTTTTCTATGACCCTATTTAAAACGACCCCCCCCCTCACAACTGGTTTTTTTTTTTTTTTTTTTTTTTTTTTTTTTTTTCTGGGGGCAATAATTTAAAAAATAGTTAATTCTAAAAAATATTATTCTAAATCAGTTATTTTTATCTTATTCTTTTCTGTTGTTATTATGTTATTCCAGTAATTATGTTATTATTTTCAGTATAGTTATGAAAATCTGAGATTTAATTTTTCTTGTCACTTATAAAGAACCTTAGAAATATTTAAAAAAACTTAATAATTGATTTTTAAATTTATTCTTGATCACTTTTTAATTAAGAGTATTCTTATAGAATATGCTTATCTTTTGGTAAAATTAGGTTGAAAGGCAACTTAAATTTGTCTTTGATTTTATATAAAACTCGTGAGTGTTATATAAAATCTATGCTAATTTAATTTTTTTCCCCCCTGGGAAAGGGCCTAATTTTACACTTTCTGTTTTCATTTGTCTGTTCTGTTTTACACTGTTGCCTATAAATTTATGGTGGCAAAACTTTTATTGCTGAGCTAAGTCTGAAAATTTGTGCCATTTTGAAAAAAATAAGACAATGTGGTAAAATTAAAACCAAAAGCGTAAAACTGTTGATGAAAGATTAGCTGTATAGTTTTACATACATATTTTCATTGCCTGCTCATTTAATTAGATAAATTAAACTAATTTATAGCCTTAAAAGCTTTAAAATATTCATGCTATCAGTCAAAACGTTTTAAAGAAATTGGCAAACTTATTCATTCTATCCATGTTTAAATACCTATTGAATGTTTTAAATTGTTTACAAAGCAAACAAAACTTAATTTTATTAAATTATGTTTAAAGGATAACTTAATAAAGCTTTAATAACTAATCAGAGGTGGTCTCTTAATCAAAATTTGATTTTAATTCCACTAAAATTATTCAAAGAGTTTTTCTCAGTTGGTGAATTATACATGTTTTGCTGGGTTATGTCATTGCTTTCACAAAAATCTATCCAAACTCAAAATTTAGTGTCCTACTTTTGACTTTTTATTTTGAATTCTTTCTTGGTAGACAGATGGTACTAAGTATATTTCATCTTTTGCTTTGCCTATATGGTATATTTTATACTTGGCTTCTCATATTTATTTTGCTCTGCAGCCTCTTCTCATGCAATTTTTTTTTCATTACCCCCTGACCTAGGTTGTTGTTTTATTTAATTTTATGTTTTGCAATAGCATTTCTTTTTTCCATATATTTTCTCGATAAATCAAATTTTTTATTGTTTGTAATTTTTTTATATTTTTCAGGTTATCAAATTTTGACTATAGTTGATTTAGACCAAAACCAGAAAATTAATTTAAACAATATGAAATTCTTAAACAATGTATTTTCTATTAAATTTCCCAGCATACATAAAATTATCAGGGAGCTAATGTTTTCATCTTTCATACCAAACTGATTCATTAGAGAGCTAGGTTATAAACTAAACTTATTTCCATGAATTATTCCTGTTGTAAAAATTCACTAACTCCTTTCTCCTAAAATACATGGCAGTATCGTACTGATAGTATGCTTATACATGGGTTGCTCAGTTAACATTAAAAAAAAATGGCATGTCAGCAATACAAAGATTAATATTCTGAATCTCTCAACAAATATAAGTAATCCTACTTCTTCAAACGCTGAGAAAAAGGAATTTTATTACCTTCACTATCATTCAGTCATTCAACATGAACAACAAATTCATAAACTGCTGTTTCTCTTTAACATTTTACTTAAAACTATAGATGTTAACACTTGATTTGGATATCTACAGTAAAACAAAAGTTTTCTGAGCAGATTTTCTAAAATCATATCTTATAATTATAACATGTTCAAAATTACTGAATTCTGCCATGTAGTTCATTCTGTTGATGCTGCAAGAATGTGACGCCTTTATACTTGTCAAAGTTTAATATACTATATAAAATCTACTTGTCTATTGTCTGATGTGGCAGCTTGATGCTAACACACTATGCCTCACTCGGGTGCTAACTCAAATAGCAAGAACTAAACTAAAAATTTGAAGATATTAAGAAGTAGTAGAATTACTACTTATCCTTAAATAACTTGGATCTTAAATTATCTTTAATAACTAATTCTCATCTTTAAATAATAAACTGGAACCTTTTGGAAGAAATGCTCTCTCTCAGCTCATTCAAAATACCTTAATAAAAACACCTTATTAACTGTCCCATCAGGAAAGATGAAATGTTAGAATAAAACTAATTTTATGTAGGAAAAAAAAACTATCAACACTATCATCATTGCACTCCTAGTTTTATTCGGCTTTTGAAGTCTAAGAGAATTCAACTTCTTTCAATCTTAGCTCTCTTGCTTTTCTTCAGTCAGTTATATATCAAACCTCATACATGGGCTATGTAGAGGATATTTAGACATAACTATGAAAAAGAGGACGTACATTTTAACTAACAGACTTGAACGAAGCATTCAATCACGGTGTAACTCTCGGATGTGTGAAACATGCAAAAGGGATCCCTTTAAAAAAGGATGGAAAACATATTTAATTTTTAAAGAGTTGAAACTTTTGGTGGGGTTTTTGGTTTCTGTGATAGAGGAATCTATTTATTTTATTCAATTAATGTGGGAATATATTTTTTTATTTTTCCAATGGCCAGGCGAAAAGTTACCAAGAACTTGTAGGGTTTATATTTATTTTAACTAACATTTATTTTAAGCTATCTTTCCTGTCAAGCCTTACTTTCCCCTGGAATTGCCAATGCCAGAGTATGTGAATTTTAGTAGAACGCGCAAAGTATTCAGATTTTCAGCGGAAGTAATTTTTGAGTTAAATAGAAGGGAAACGAGTTTGTAGGTGTGCTTTCTTGATTCACGAGCATGAAGGTTGCTAGGTAGAAATTTAAGAACCGCGCATTTCGGCCTGTGTGCTTGTTTCGGCAGATAGTTGAATCTTTCAACTTTTTATTCAGAAAGTTTGCTGAAATCTCAGCTGTATCTTAGAACGCGGTTAGGTTAGTTACGTTTTAGAGAGCCTCGTTTTAGAGAGTAACTTGTTATTATTCATTTTTAGTTTCTTATTTTTATTTTACCGCCGGGTCGGCGTAGTTTGTGAGCGTCAAGTGCACGCATCTGTAACTTCTAAAGTGGAATAAAAAGGGAGTTAAACCCTTCTTAAGAGTTTGTGTACTTTCCAGTTCATAGCAGTCACTACTATTGTTGTGTGCAGGTTGGGGCCGTGCAACACCACAAACTAAAATCTTTTAAACGGAGGTTACAAACAATAGAACTAAGAACAAAAAGACCGAAGTCATTGCCTAAAGAGCGTTCTTGCCTCCCAATATCTGGACTCTTCTGTAAGATGACGAAGAACTACACATTGGAGCAGGCGGTCTCTGTCCACATCTTCTCCAGAATCACCAAGTGGGCAAATAGGATGCTTGAAATGCATATGCGGTGCAGGTGGGCAGCAAGGCAATTATGTCCTGTAGACAGATGAAAAGCCTCGACATTTCTCAGTGATATTTGTATGGTTCAGTGATATTCGTGTGGTTCAGTGATATTTGTGTGGCTCAGTGATATTTCTCAGTGTCGGCAATATTTCTCAAAACGTTAAAACATGAAAAAAGCGACATATTTTGCTATAAAAAATCTCTAAATGTGCTTAAAATTTACATAAAACATAAGTTTTCAAACAAATATTTAACATACTATCTCAAGTTCAGATAAAACATTAATTCCACCACAGTATGACTTCATACATTCATTTGCCATATGTCTGTAACCATAAAATGCTTCATGTTTTCTCCGCAGCAAATGCTTCCTCACAGCAGCTCCCAAAGAAGGGAGCTTTTGGACCAGATTTACATTTGTATTATTTTCTATAATAGTTATTGCATCCATCATGCTTTCAATCCTCCTACAAGAAATATGAAAATAATTAGCTTACAGAAAATATGAATAATGTACTAAGTACAATAGCTAAAACTTAAGCCTTTCTCTGTTTAACATGTTCAAATGGTTAATATGTTGTTGTTAATGGGAGACCTTAAAGCTGCATATAGTTCATAACTATTCAGTATTGTATTTTATACGGAAATAATTTTTTTTAAGTCAACAGCATTAACTTTTTAAGAACTTTAAATAAATGATAATCACAGATTCATGTTTCTTAAAGGAAAATATTTATTTATAACTCATAAATTATCAATTATAAATTTTGGTGAATAATTTCCAAAACTAGCAGTCAAACTAGCATATATATTCACGTTTATAGGAGAAGAATTAGAGACCTTAAAGCTGCATATAGATTTTAAGTATTCAATACCTTTTCCACCTAATACACCTTTTCAAAGCAATTTTTGTAGCTATGGAATATCTTAAAATTTACGACTTCGGAAATTCATTTCACATAACTTGCATTTCCACCGAACTCCTCCTGATCAACTCTCTACATTTGTTCAATATAATGTACGTATAAAAGCATGTACACAAGCTATTTGTTTCAACCTTACAAATTATCAGAATATCAAGTTTGGTTTACGAAGTTTGCAAAAATGAGTTTATTACTTATAAATGAAAAGTTATGATTGAAGATTTTCCTTGCAAAATAAAATATGAGCTACTTCCTACGGGAATAATAGTGCTTCTTTTGAGAGGATTATATATGGAATATTTGGTTTAGTGTTTGAATAACGTCAGCAATAAGTTCAACAATAACTAGTACAATAATATGTTAAAAGAGGAAAGGTAGGAAAGCATGCAAGTCAGATTCGCATAAGTTGGGGGTCTAACTTTGTATAGGAATTTAGTTAAATAGGGCCAAGGGCTACAGAAAAAAAGGCATATAATAAAGAATGTAGTTTCATAGAAATAAATGCAAAAATGTATTAAAATAAATGTGTTAAAGAAAAAGGAGTTACATCCATGATGATACCTTCTCGAAATTTAACAAACTCGTCTGGCAACTCGATGAATCTTTTTATCAAGTATAATTTCATTATAGCAAGATAATATTTTTTTCCTTGTAGTGTTGATAAAACAATTTCCTCATTAATGTCTCTAATCTCCAGAAACTAAACCTTTTTCGATTTAGCTAAGACCTGTCAGGCTCGCGATTGTCATATGCTTTTCTAGTGGATTTTGGCCTGAGCTGTTAGCTTCTTCAGGAGGAATTCGCTTATACAGGGTGTTCGGGATAAATTTGACATATTTATAATTGATTATATTTTTCCGTAGGTTGGAGGTATTGACACACACTACTCGTCATTTAAAAGTTTAGACCCTTCTTCATTCATATACAAGATGTCAGAAAGGATGGATGACTGGAACCCACCTGAATCATGGAAGAGAATAACTTGCATCATGATGATTCGTGCCGGCCATCAAAATAAGGATATTATGACTGCTGCCCAATGCTTCCTGAACACAGTAAAAACAATCAGGCATGAACTAGAGACTTGCAATGGTGACTACGAGGATGTAGCAAGAAGAAAGATCCCTAGCAGACGATCTGATTGCGTTCGTACAGCAGAATTCCTCGCAAATCTGCAGGAACAGGTGTTGAAGAACCCTGGCATTGGAATTCGGGCTTTGTCACGTGAAATGAATGTTGCCTCTACTATGAAGCTTGCCTCAATGAAGACCTTCGCTACTACTCATACACAAGCAGATTTTCTTTTTCCTTACGAAACTGTCAAATTTATCTCGAACACCCTGTACATCTGACATTGCAGTCATTAGGTTTTTTTGAAGCAGGAGACGTGAAAAATGTGCAATGCCTTCGTTGGGATTTGATCCCTGAACCTCTCGAATACGCGTTGAGTATGCTTCCAATTACACTCCAAAGGCATACAGAAAGGAGGGAGAAAATACCTTATAACATCACCAACTTCCAAATCTAATTGCACGGCAAGATTTTCTATTACATAAGTAATTTACTCAGTTTATGTTGTTGTTTTCATTCCACTTTTGACACAGAATGGATAAAATTTCTTCTAAACATTCAAATTTTTTTGGGAAATTTCATTTCAAGATATTCCAATGATTCTTATAGCATCTAAAACACTGAATAAGGAATTGGAGTAGGGGAAAATATGAAATGCATAATCTCAAGTTATAAGTTCTCCCACTTCCCTAGCGTGCCTTCGTGGTGTAACGGTAGCACGCTGGGCCGGTATTCCAGAGGTCCGTGGTTCGATTCCCGGCGAAGGCGGTTGCTAAGTTTTCATCTTGCCTGCTTCCAAAATAAACCTAATGACTCTACAAAGTTTGCATTTGTCGGGATATTACTGTATGCATTTCGTACTATTTTAACAATGAATTTTGCTAACTAACACATGTGTACTAACTACACTCACTACAATTTGCAGTATGAATATTGAACAGGAACTAATACTGGAATAATAGATTCAATTTTACGATGAAGGTAGGAATTCAATTAAATTTATTATGCTTTTATGAGCAAATAATGCTCTAATACAATTAAATTATAAATTTAATTTTACATTTAAATATAACTCATTAATCTTTAACCATTGGATTTCCAAAATCTATAGACCACAGAATTATTGCATTAATAGCTATCGCCGAATTACTGCATTACAGGATTTCACATTCTTGGCGGCAGATGATATCTTTGTCATTATCGAAACTATGATTACATTTCTTTCCTTTATTTATTGGCAAAGGCATGTAGGGAATATGTGTGTATAAGCACATTATTACTGAAATTCATTAATAACAATGAAACTGTTATATGAAATCTATAGTTTAAATTGCATATGTTCTATTAACTATTCTATAGCCATTGAGAAATATCATACTGTTATTAAGAAGCATTTCGTTTCACACTGTTTCCCTGATAAACTATTATATGTTACTCTTCATGTACATTCTGCTACATCGGCATTTATTACAGTTTCTAATATTTATTAAAATGCATTATGATCAGCAGTAATTCATTAATCAATATCGCCTTTATTTCCTTTTGTGATGGAAAAAAATCTCATAATGATTTTGAGCTAAGTATTTAATATGCAGAAAAAGAGTATATGTATGTCTACTTATAAACAGTAAAAACTTGTTACCTATGGATGGAGTATTAAGGGATGTTGTTAAAACCCACGTCACAAGTAAATCACCTCAAAGTTAATTAGTTCAAAACACTCAGTCCCAAACGTTTATAGACTAAACTATATTACGTGTTTTAGAAAAATGGAAAGGAACATAAGTAAAAATAAAATCTGTTTATTAACCAAATAAAAATCTGTTTATTAACATCACATGCGACTTCATTCCAGTAAATATTCAACTAAAATAGCAATTCGTATTTTAGAAAAAGTAAAAACACAGAAGAATGTGCATCCTAAAAGTTTGTAAGGTTTTGCGCATATCGGTCTATCTGTTTCTAGTTTTATATCATGTTCAGTAAGGTATCATATCATGTACAACCTGGTTCATTAGAGGTAATACAGAAATACTTGTATATCAACTGCTTTAAATCTTTTTGTTGGTCTTCAGATAATAGTGAATTCAACTGGATACCTCCAATTTTGTGTCAAAATTGCTATGTTAGAACAACGCTATATATAATTCTGATATATATATCCTAAGTCGCCCTTTCGAGGCATGAAAAACACAAATTGAATTTTGTCAATCGGCCCAGTAGAACGGGAGATACAGAACTGTCCCATTTTTTTCACCGCCGTGTACCATGCAGTTTAACATCTTGTCAGCACATTAGTCAACCCTATGTTTATTAAGTTAGATAAATCCGCTTTTACTAGGCTACTCTATCAGAATATACTGTACTGATCACAATAGCCAATCAAATGCTCGTACTACAAAACAGTTCGAATACTAGAATCCACCAACTGAGAGCTCTTTTGTGTTAACAACATGATATTCGACTGCCACATAACAGACCTAGGATCAAATCCCAAGGTCATCATAATCTTAAAGGACAAACCAACTCCATGCACTGCTGCACTTTTCAGAGGTGCTAATACACAAGCAAGCAACCACATACCAAAAAGCACCAAGAGAGATTACGACACGACCATGAGATCGTTACAATACAATATGCAATTTGAAAAGAATTTAATCATTATTTGTGCAAGATTTTGAAAATTAAAATCACTGAACTTGGTTTGCTAGAAATCCTGTGATTACTTCTTCAACGCATGTTACTAAAATGAAACCAGCTTTAAGATAAGAAGGCATTCACAAACAGTCTGATGCTCCATCCATGCCATAACATCACTGATGTTCACAATCAATATCTACTTTTGGAATTGATGCATAAACATCCAACTTTTCATCGCTATGACTTTAATTTCTAAGGGATTCATATCTTGTCAACTGTTTTCACAGAAAGTCGCAATAGTTTCTTTGCTTCAAATTGCACAACTGGCGAATCACAATCAGCATCCATCCCAGTGGCTCTCAACCATTTTGTTTGCCCCATGTACCCCTTTCACTTTCAAGATCTTTTCTCCCCTCCTTTTCCAACTTGAAAAAAACATATGCACATTTACTTAAATTTAGATTATTTTTTAATGTGTTTTATAAATTAAACAAAAAAGTATAGAAAAGAAAAAGCATAGAAAATGTTGATTAAATGGCAAAATTTGAATAAAAGTAGCTTTTTATAAACTAAAAGTAAATAGTTTACAGGTAAACAAAAGGCTGACAGCATACCCCTCGCCTGAAATCGTTCGTTGCGTAGGAAACCGACAACACTGCTCTCCTCCCGCGTACAGACTTCGAGTTGGATTGGGCAGCGCCGAAATCTTTGCTAGCGGTGGGAGCGATTTCCAGAAGCCCGCATTCGACCGTCACGTCGCATCGACAGTTGTCCCGAACGCTCATCGCGAGCATCTGATGCTATGTGGACCCATTGACATCACCCATAGGGAA